ACAAGTTGCATAAGTGTATATGTATATCATTCTAATATTTACTTTAATTTTTAATTCCAATAGTCTACACCCGCATTTAACACTGTATACTTTGGTAAATCAAAGGAGTTCAAGTACAATCATAGAGTGTAGTAATACTACCAGAGTAGTACTATACTCCTTTGTCATTCCCATGGCCAGGGCTGGAGTAATTGTATTTGTAATTTAATTGAAATGTAATTAATTACAAGAAAATAGGAATTGTAATTGCAGTTGTAATTGAAAAAAAAATTCAGTTAATTGTAATTATAATTGTAATTTAAATGATAATCATGTACACAATTGTAATTTAATTGTTATTGTGAAGTCGGTCCCCCGATCAAATTTTCAAGTCAACCATCATCATGACCATGGTTCATTCCACTGACTGCCACTCACGCAACAGCCAATTGCAGTACTGTAAACCTTTGGCTAGAGTCCTGCTGGACTCTGTGAAGAAAAGGTTGGACCCATACATAGAAATGAGGGATGTTCGAGCAGCGGCTTTTCTAGGTCCTAGGTTCAAATTGGATTGGCTGTTGGCGCAGGAGCAGAAGGACCAGGTACTGATTGATATCAAGGAAATGTTGGAAGACTCGGAGCCAGTTCAGGGGGGTCAACAGAGGAAGAAAATGACAAAGATGATCTAGCAGAAGGATTACCTGATTCAAAAAGACCCAGACTTTTCTCCTTCATACCACTATCGTCAACTAGGCGACAAAATCAACGAGCATGAGAGGGAAGTACAGCGAGTCCGTTGTTGAAACAATATGTGGAAGAAGGAACTCTCCCATTTTCAAGTAATCCAATGCTCTACTGGAAAGAAGTGCCCCCAACTTTGCACCCACTGAAGAACCTGGCAAGGGAGCTGATGGAGTGTATTGCAACAATCTGCTCCATCCGAGCGAGTTTTTAGCATTGCTGGAAATTATTTCACAGCCAACTGGGCCCAACTTGGTGTCGTTTCTTTCCAGTCATTGTTAATGATAAAGTGTAATGGTGAATTATTTTAAAAACTCCCAACTTTGTAAATATTATGTGTAACTTGCACTATGCATGGACTGCACTGGAATCTTGATAGCCTATGTCTGCTTTTTTCATAATAGATTTAAGTGAAACATGTTCATCAATACGGATTTAGCCCTTATAACTAGACGGCATGACGGTTTTCTATTCAAAGGGTGAGCTAGCATGTAGAAACTTGTAATTGTAATTATAATTGAACTTTTGATTTTCAATTTGTAATTGTAATGTAATTGAACATTTGAAATGTACTTGTAATTGTAATTCAAAATTCATGCAAGTATTTGTACTTGTAATTGTAATTGACTTAAGAAGGTGTAATTAATTAAACCCTGCTCATGGCACATACAACTTAGATTAATACCGGTATTATCAAAACTGAAATTAAACACATCTTGGTGAACTTAACACCTCAAAAGATAACTATGAAAATCTAAAGTTATACTGAAATTATTACAGTAACACAGAAAACATGCATTGTCATAAATTCAAATCACAACATATTAATATTATTCATATTGCATACTACACATCTACCATGTATAACGGTAGGAAGGAATGTATTAACACAAAAGCTATAGTATCAAATCAGTGACATAATAGGACAAATATCACATGATGTCACAAAAAATTCAGATTGATATATGTGTGATCATAGTTTTAAAATGCCTAAAAACAAAATAAATAGTAAATAATAGCCATATATCCAAAATCGCATTATATACATCATCCATGACAACAGAAAGACTGATTATTAAAAAAAATATCAGATAAAATGAATAACAATGTGTTGGTTCTGGAAATTTCATTCACAGCCTATCTTTGTAGCGAAGCCTATGCAGAGCACCACAACATCCATGTCAACAGTTCTGATGAATATTTTACTGTATCCTCGATGTGCTCCTTCTGCAGCATGCATTAACCAGAAGGGTGTCTGCCTCCCCATGTCAACTTGTGGATACTCCTTCAGTTGGATAGGTTGGTTCCACATATCATATATCCTCGATAGGTGACTAATACATTACCTGGAAACTTTTCCAGGTTAACCTGGGTACTGATAAGATGGAAGAGCTCTTTCTTATTTTCACTCTCTTGCAGAAAGTCCAAACATTTCCCTGGGAGCTTTTGTCTTCCCTCAACTCGTCGTCTGGTACCATGTCCCCTTTATCTCTTATGGCTGATTTCAGACTATCAAACACCATGTCAACACGTTTCACAGAACCTTGAAATTGATGCCTGATGTAATCCATGATCTGGTGTACATAAGCATCAAAACTCTTGCAAGTACCTGGTTTGATCAAGTTGACAGTTGCTGCACCATCAACAATTACCAAACCTGCATCATGTTGGAAACTGGTAATGTCATGGTGTGGTACCAAGTCTTCGAGAAGAGGAAGTCTGACTTAATTCCAAATCTAAAATCTTCATAGACTGATAATGATGGAGGGAAAGTCTGATTCTCATGTTAGAATAAGTCAGTTAGGCTAGCATCGCGGATTTGATGCATTATAAAGGCTAGAGAACAGACTTCGATCCTGCCGCACTGATGAAAGCTGTTTCTGTGACCTGGGTTTGTTTTTCTAAAATTGTCTACTGAGAAGACTCAACTTTTTCTTTGTCACTTTCTCTGAGTCACTCCTTGTGCGATCTAGCACAAACATAGGGTACGATATTTTGAATGTTAGTTATTCCTGTATAACAAATAACTGAAATATTAATGAGGGCTTGTTACATTTATTGTTGTGTGTATGTACTGTATTTGATGTGAGATAACACATTAGAGGAGTAAATCGGTCTCATGTGTTATCCGAATGTAAGAATTGATCACATCGAGGTGACAAAGTCCCCATTTGACCTGTCAACTTTGATTTCAGAATGAATAAGACATCGTACAACAATATCAATATTACTATTAGATTCCTCACTCCAGAAAACATGGGTAAAGCCACAAATATCAAAAGTTTAACTGCAGTAGAAGCTGAGATATTGTGTATTTTATGTGATGTCGCGTACAGATTGCCTCCGATCTTTAAAATGATCCTTATGGGCCCTAGTATTAGTATATAAAGTATGAAGCTTTCGTAAAAAAGTGCGCGATTTTTCCCTTATCCTCTGGACTATTTGTTAATCATATAGGACAAGGGCGGACGGAGGAGAGGTGTATCTATATATACGTAAAGTATCCGAGGTTACAAACTAGTGGTCATTTGTAAACATGGGTTACTACTTTGTCTACCTTAAGTTCTGTTGATGGATGGACGTATTTTCTGAAAATTTAGCAGTAACAAACTACAGGTTGCGACATCATCTTAACTTGCTACCTTCCCAAACACCTTCGCGTCGTCCACAACTACAGGTTGTGGACCACATAACAATTTACAATTTCATGCAAAACCTATATCAACCTAACCTAACTAAACCTAACCTAACCTAACCTAAACTAACCTAAGTACAGTAGAAAATTACAGGCCAATCAGCCCAATATTACCTATATGCACACACCTGACCGATCACACTCTTAACAAAGAATCACAGCATGGTTCATGGAGAGAGATCTCGCCTGACAAACTTACGCACTTCCGAACATTGTTCATAGTAGACAGATGGTAGTGTGGTAGTGAAAAAAACACGACTAAGAGATGGAGCTTTATCCCTGACGGTTCATCACAAGATAATAGTCTTGTGACGAAACGTCAGGAATAAAGCTCCATCTTTTAGTCGTGTTTCCTTCACCACCACTCTACCTTACTCACTTTCCTCATAACGGTAAGAGACTACGTGGAACAAGATCTACCAGTCGATATGTTGTACATACATGGATTTTTCTAAGGCGTCTGACAAAATCCCACATACACTGCTAGCCTCTACGAACCAGGCACGTGCCATCACAGTTAAAATATTGAAGTAGATTAACAACTGACTCGACAAAAAGTGGTTATAAACGGAGTACTGTGTACACTGAGAATTGAATAAAGGTTCTCATTGGTGTGCCACAGGGATCTATCCTTGTTTGTGATATACATTAAAGACCTTGATGGAAATATCTCGAGTCGCATTGTCAAGTTGTGGACGACGCGAAGGTGTTTGGGAAGGTAGCAAGTTAAGATGATGTCTCAACTATGCAAAATGATTATAAGACTGGTAATTACTTTTAACTCAAAAATATATGACTGCAAGTAGGGTACAACATCCTTTATCAAGACTTTCCAGAATACTGTTGTTAAAAAAAAAGATCAAGGCGTTATGATAGATCAGCCATTAACGGCGGGGCAACAAGTGAAAAAAAAAATAACAACCGAGATCTCGGAATTATAAATCGTATCATCAAGTACAAAGATAGGAAGAAGTTCCTTCAACTTTATAAGTCGCCAGCACGTCCCAAGCCTGATTAATGTATACAAGCACGGAAACATTACCTCCGGAATGACTGAGCATCCCTAAAAAAAGGTTCAAAAGGGGACAAAACTTCAAGCTCGCCAAGATATCATGCAGAACGAATATAAGACCTTCTTTCCTCGACATGACTACCTCTAGTTTTGGTGGCCATTTTGTTAATAAGGTAAAAGTAAATGAGATAAATTTCAACTAAAGTATTGGAGGTAATTTTTTAACTAGGATAGTTAGGATAAATACTTAGAGATTAACGTTAATTTCTTCTGGGGCAGAGAATGCAAAAAATCATTATGGCTATACGTAAACTCTAGTATAGGCAACATATTTCAGATTATCCTTACTGCGGAATTATCAGTGCCTACAGAGCGAAGCATGGCAGGATGTGTGACTGTGTGAGCCGACACACCTCCCACACCCCTATCCGTATCCAGTCCCCGCCTGCTGCTCTGCCTTCACACAAATTTTATCACTAAGCTTTAGTTTAAATAGTTCGTGACTAGTCATAAATGCTTAGACATCATAAACACGAAAATAATTCAGAAAATACTTCTTAGGTGGTTACTTACAGACAAACTGCATAAATGTGTAACTGAAATCTGCAAGGCATCACTTCTTGTTCTTGAACACATCAAGTCTTTCCTTGTGAAATAGTGTTAAGAATGATCACTTCTGCGACTTGTCACTGCAGTAAGGACACACACACAGCTACCAAGGTGTAACATTAGATATTCAGAGAAATACAAGTGTGGCTTCATGGAGACCGGTACTGACAGAGAATGATAGAACTGTAGCAACTCGTTTATGCTTTTAAAAGGAAAATATACGCCTCTATACATATACCAAACACACAAAGCGAGAACACAACTGGTACTGGGCAGTGGGCGGATGCACAGTGCACTAGTATGCACGGCTGCGTGTACAGAAACTGATGTAGTTGTGGGGTGGCACCGTGGCTGGTATAGTCCACCTAATATATGCGTTGCCAGGCAGTGTTTGTTGCTGCGGTGGGCCAGCTCGCAGTGTTTGTGGCTCAGACCTAACTATGCTGTAATCGGGGTGTGGGGGAGAGGGGCAGCCCAGGAAAGATAAATATATAGAGAATGAAAGAAAACGGTGGCCCAGCAGTGTATTGACGTGCAGAGCTCACCCTTGTGTCCGCCTGCCTGCCACTGTCACGGAGCTGCCTTAGTGATAACTTGCTGCAGCAGCACTAGTGTGCTACTGAGAGTGATTAATTCATTTTCCTTCTCTACTGCCATGTTTCTCATTACAAGGGAGTGTGTCTTGAATTACTGATGGTATTTTTAACTACATTCCGAACTGAATCCCCCTCATCATTATCTTTTCTTCTGGTTCCCAAAAATTACTTACGTGATAGCTTGATGTGAAATAATAAATCTTATGGCTTCAAATGCACTCAAATATAATTTAGAAATTGTAAACATAACAATCTTGTTTGTGAATTTACGATTAACGTCGACCTTTGGTGTTGTCGGTGATGGCGATATCACTTATATTCACTTATCAATGTTATCACCAAATTATTAATCACTAAATTATCTTATGGCTGGCCTTAAGCATTAAAAACTAGGAAAAATAATTTATTTGATATCATTAATGCTGAAAATCTCTGGATAGATAGTCACGATTGTGACCTGCTCAGAACATTAGCAGCCTATGGTCCAAGTGTGGTACAGTTGGTCTGGACTCGGGATCTATTTACATGGAGATATACAGGTATGATTAGTTTATACTTTTGTATATTTAAAGTGTATAGTGAGGCTAAAGGTTAGGGTTTACTGTTGGTCACCTGCTACCTCTGAGCATTCCATATTATTTATTATCGTTTTTGGTTTATGGTTCCATTGGTGTTTTAAGGGTGTCTTGTGTAATCTGTTTGTTAATTACTATGTAAATACTACTTACTGTGAATAAAGTGTGCAAATTTAATAGCATGTTGACAGTTACTCCTAAATTATTGAGACAACATTCTAAATGTATTGTATTGTTGCAGCTTTTTATTCAAGGTCATGTTGGTGTGAGCTGCCGCACTCCTAGCCGTGTATGTAACCACGCCAGCTAGGACACTGTCAGCCCTATCCTCTGTGCTGTTCCTCCTGGGTACATTATCAAGTAAGTACCTGTGTCGATTAGGAGGATACTGTAGGGTTGCTTGATATTATGTGGTCTAGCACTCAGGATGGGATTGATGGAAACTCTAGGTGGTGGTTTTCTTATATAAAATATATTATATGAAAGACAGTCTGGTGCTGGAGATGCCGTGTGGCGAGAAGCTTGCCCAAGAGACACGTTCAGTGAGTAGCGTGCTTGAGGAGGTATTTGTGCAGGAGCTTCGTCAGAGGAGATGTTGTGTGTTGCTGTCCTCCAGGTTGAATGAGAGCTGGACAGCGAGGAGCTTGCTTGGAGGAGGTGTTGCGTGTTCTGGAACGTAGGGCAGAATGAATCTCAATGGAGAGACAGAGCTTATATACACAGCAGCTGGAAGTAAACCCGTGGGAACTCGCCGGTTTCTTGACTCCATTGCTAGGGAAGACTAGCAGGTGGCGACCCCCTCGTGTTGCTAGGCTACTGTCGCATTGGAATGCGGATGTAGTTGTAGGGGAGAGATCCACTACAATACTTGCTCTCCTTTGCTTTTGTTGAGGAGAAGACACCTCTTTACCACCTGTGTCGTGTTGATATACAAGACCCCACGCTTCACATCTGGTGTCTACACTCCCGACATTTGTCCTGACCGGTAGTCCGGCGTTTCAATACCAACATATGTTTATGTAGCTCTGCACTGCCTTCATGCCGATTCACTGGACAACAAAGATTTTGTTACTTGTAGGTTATGTATCTAAGCTACTGTGCCGAGTAGCAACCCTGTACATAAGCTACTGTGCCGAGTAACAACCCTATACATAAGCTACTGTGCCGAGTAGCATTTATATATATATAATCACGTGGCAACACTGCACGTGTTATGTGGCAACATTGCCCCGAGGCTGCCATATGGCAAGGCAGCCCCAGTCTGACTGTGTGAGCCGTGCATGGCACACGCGAGTCACCACTAGTATTTCTCTCATCCATAATAAACGGACTCAGTGTTACTCAGTGTTTCCCTAGCCATCACTGCATTCTTCAGGGCACACTAGTAACTGTCATGGCGCAGTGCCTAGGATCTGTGGACTTACAAAGTGTCATGGGTTGCGTTGGGCCTCCCGCACAACCCATCCCAAATGTTTGTTTACCGTAGAGATAAGGTAACCGGCCAGCCATGACTGGGACATGTAGGGGGGGGGGGCAGGCCAGTGAGACAGTGGTGTACTGTTCTTCACTTCACGCCTCAAAAAACCAATTTAGCCAGTGGGCTTTAGACCTTGGTTTAGAGAAGACCTCCTGCTCCGCGGACTTATCAGGGGCCATACAGTCCTACCAGTGCTACGGGTCTGTGTGTGCAAATCCCCGAGATTTTTTTGTTAAGTCCAGCGACAAGTTAACACACCCTGTAAAGGAAGTGATCAATGGTGAGGGCCTGTTTGCTACAAGAGCACTCCAGGCCGGCCTAATAGATCTAAACGATTAATTCACCAGGTTGACAAACTCTCCCTTATAACTTACGGTACTGTGGCGTGAATGTGAGTGACTGACCTATCCATGCAAATTATAAGTCCAGTGTATGGAATTGTGCCAAATAAACGTAAGTGCAATCATCTGCCCGTATCTGTGATCCCTCTATTATCATTATTACCAAGGGTAATGACTCATTGGTTATGACAAAGTATAACCAATAACTTAGATGGATGTTGGAAGTTAGTGGAATTCACTAAATCATCATTTATCAAGTACATAACGCATTGAGTGCCGGAAGCAGAGCAAAATTCTACGTAGTGATACACCATAATCTCTTGGGTGAGTAACCAGTGTGAAGGTATCCGAGTTCTACGGTAAGAAAGCCACTTCCCTGCACTTAAAACGTAACAATTGGCGCCCGAACAGGGACCCAGACCGTGGATGATTGCACAATTGTATCGCCACACCTACACCATGTCAGCTCGTGCAGCGGCTTTTGAGGAAGCACGTGCCCTCGGGCTGGAGGGGGCTGAGGCGGTTGCATACATGGAGAAGGCTGAGGAGAGAGAAGACAAGCGACGCGAGCACGAAGAACTCTTAGACCAGCTAGACTTTCAGAAGGAAGAAAAGAAGTTGGAACGTGAAGAGAGACAAAGGGAACGGGCGTTCCAACTGGCCTTAGCGGAAAGGAACCAAAATTCTCCCACTCAAAACGTCACTTATAGGAAATTTCCCCAGATGCCCACCTTTAAGGAGAGCGAATCCATGGAAATGTACATTTCCCGGTTTGAGCATCTCGCAGAAGCCTACGAGCTTGATGACAGCATTAAGGAATTTGAGTTCCTGAGCCTATTTGATGGGAAAGCTTTAGGGATTCTTCGACGACTAGAGCGTCCTGAAAATAAATTCCCTGACATGAAGTCTGCACTGCTGCGGGCATATGGGCTGACTACTGAGCAGGCCAGGCATCAGTTCAACAGGGCAATGTTGGAAGAAAATGAAACGGTTGCACAGTTCCGGGATCGTTTAAGGGACTATGTGGCTCAGTGGATGAGTAAGGATGAAACCCCCAAGTCCATGGAAGGGGTTATAGACTTAATGGTGCGCACGCAGTTAGAAAGGTCTTGTCCCCCTGAACTTGTGGCTCAAATCAGGGCCAATGGAGTTAAGACGTCGAAGGAAATGGCAAGCAAATCAGACGCTCATTTCAGCGCTTTCGGGTACCACACTCGGAGGCGGTGGTCGAACAGGGAATCTCTCTCGGAGCCGCCATCTTGTCAACTTCTCTTGTCGAGTGGATCTCGGCGTGTACCTCAACACGATATTCCTGGATTTACAGTGCAGTGTTGTGAAGTGCTTTTTCAGTGTTGTGTGTGCCCTTTAGTGTCTTTAAAGTGTTTCCCCGTGTTCCTGCACTTTTTACAAAAGAGGGGAGCCTTTTTAAGACCTAGGGGAGAGCTCAAGTTTTGACATCCACCCCCGTTCATGTCTCGACCGGCACTGAGTGTCTGAGCCAGCCAGCCAGCTAGCCAGCCCGCCCCGAGTACACGCACTCACGAACGAACGCACACACACACACACACAGACGCTCGCAGATATCTTCCATTTAAAGACGAGAGAACTTCTCAGTTGTAAGCAGCTGGAGGGTGAGTCGTTTGCCGATTTTTACGTACGACTCAGACGCATCGCTGAGGAGGTTGACGTTTGTCCTGGGAACTCGTTGACTTGTGAGGAAACACAGCTAAAGATGATTATCCTCATGGGCGTGCGGGACGAAGAGCTAATTCAGAAGCTTATCTCCCTCGACACTGCCTCTTCTCTACAGGATGTTGTCACCACCTGATGCTCTTACGAAGCCACCAGAAGTGCGACTTCTGCCATTCGTGCTCCATCTAACCAGCTGTGTGCCATCTCCGCATATAAGAAGAACAAAGGACGTGACCGGACTTCAGCCTCACATCCGACTTCAGCTTCACATCCGACTTCAGCTTCACATCCGACTTCAGCTTCGCATCAATCTTCAGCATCACTTCAGACTTCGACGCCAGGTCATTCCTGCCAGTATTGTGCTCGTCGGCATGGTTCTGAATGCCCTGCCGCTGACAGCACCTGCAATAACTGTGGCCATCGTGGTCATTGGGCTAGGACACTGAAGTGCCCTGCCAACAACGCTCAGTGCCGCTCCTGTAGCCGCATTGGACACTATGACAAATGCTGTCAGTCAAAGAAGAAGAATAATACTACTTGCAAGTCTCAGGCGGCGAAGAACAAGCGCTGTCGTCGCGTGGGATCCTCTTCTTCCCCTGTCAGCAAGACACCTCAGCCCATCTGTGTTCACCTGTCATACGGCGACATTACTTCCCGTATCCAGATGCTTCCTGACACAGGTGCGGACGTCACAGTCATCGGCACAAGACACCTCGACATTCTGCGGATCCCTAGGAGCAGCTTGCA